ATGTTAGTATTGAAAAAAAGATTGAAAAGGACATCACAAATGCTGTGAGAAAGCTGAACAATTTTATGGACGCAGATGTAAATCATATCACAGCAGAAATGTTAAAATATGAATGTGTGGTTTGCTTCTAACGTGGTTGCATCTATGCCCAACAACTGGAAAAATCCTGTTATTGATCCCCTATATAGAGAAAGGTAGCAAGAGTGAATGCAAAAACTACAGGGCAATTCATTTGTCAAATATGTCTGGAAAGATTTTGATTGAAGAATTCAAGAGGTGACAGTGAGCAAAATGAAGAAAATGCAATGTATTTTATGCGGGGCAGGGGCACACATTTTAAGATATACAAACGCTAGCAGAAACATAGTGGATAGTATATGGAATGAATATCTGTCAAAAGAAGCCAATTCTTCTGCCCACTTTGCTATATGGTGATGAGAGTGGAGTCCATCAGGAGAAACATAAAAAGTATGTTGAATGAAATGTGAATGGGGTACTTAAGAAGCGTGTCTGGCAAAATTCTTCTTGAACCTAGAGACAGGATCAAGAATAAATGGATGCTGAATGAATACAGATGGAATACAAAAGTAAGTATCTAGTCAGCAATAAGGTTCTTTTGTGCATGTGCCTTTGAGTCAGCATTGCCTCCTGGGGACTACCTGGACCAGTCATTGCCATTTTCTTGGCAAGGTGTTTCAGAAGTGGTTTGCCCTTGCCTAGGGCTGAGAGAGAGGGGCCGGCCCAAGGTCACCCAGCTGGCTTCATGCCTAAGGAGGGATTAGAACTCACCATCTCCCCATTTCTAGCTTCGTGCCTTAACCACTGCACCAAACTGGCTCTCACAATAAGTACACTGAGTGTATTTGGTCATAGAGAGAAAATGAATGAGGACTGAATTATGAAAATATATGAAGGAAGAGTGAATGGGTCAAGAGGAAGACTGAGAAAATTGTGGTCGGATGGAATTGTTGAGATCATCAGAAAAAGGGAGGTCAGAAGTCTAAAGGACAAAAGTTTGAAGCACTGTATGGATGTGGTAGACGGAAGTATGATTTATAAGGACAGAGAAGTATAGAGAGGTATAGTGAATGGTATTGATGAAAAGCAGATTTAGCTGTATTTCCTCCTCTTTTTCTTTTCCCATGCCTTAAATTCATTTGGCTTACTATTTCTTACTTCTTGTCTGCAGCTGGCATAACGCTGCTTATCCTGAGAGGAACAGTGTGATGATTACGCCCATATCCACGTAACAAATTAACCAGTGCAAAAGACACTTATATTCGCCAATTTTTCAAACAAAATTAAACTGAGCAAGCACTCTTTTTTTTTTCTTGACACTAACATTTATAGCACATATATCAATACCTCTCTTTAATATGTTATCACCCTTATATCACTGCATCATTAAATTATATCCAGATCTTGGTAGAAAAATTCTTCTTTAAACTGAGGATTGGGGATGAAAATGCTGTTCCATGGCAGCAGGAACTGATGGGCCCTTTTCTTCATTTATTATGTGAAAACTCCTTGGTCAATCTATTTCAGCATTTACTGTCTCTTTGTTGTCTATCTTTGCTATACTACTCTAAATATTAAAATATTGGTTAAGCACACAATGCATACCGTACCTGTCTTCTGAAAAGGCTGACCATAAGAAGGAAGGGGTGTGGCATGCCACCTGCGGATATCCCTTCACCTTTCATATGGGCAGCCAAGAAAATTCAAGGAATTAGATATCCCAATGCTCTGAGGCACTTACAGTTACAAAGCAGTAGATACTTGGAAGGTACCAGAAAAAGCTGGGAGGAGGTAGTGCAGGGCATCAGACACACATGTGTGTCCAGGATCCTAAAGTCATCTACCCAAGATCAGCCTTCGCACTCTCAATTAGCTATGCCATAAATACCTAGAAGAGGCACTTTTACAGGATAAGCAGCCAGAGAACCCCGCCAAATAGTTACACAATACGACCGTGTAATACCGCTGCTCAGTGAGCTGCACTGGAGTCTTCTGGGTGCAATTCAATGTGCTGGTTGATACCCTTAAAGCCCTACATGGCATGGGGCCAGGTCACTTGCAGGATCACCTGTCCCTAGTGGTTTCTGCCCGTCCCACCTTATCTGGCAGTGTGAGCATGCTCTGGACACCCTCAGTGAAGCAGTGTCACCTGGTGGGTCCCAGGAAGCGTGCTTTCTCTGTTACAGCGCCTGCCCTATGGAACAGCCTCCCCTACGAGATATGGTCAGCTCTATTGGCCTTTCGGAAGGCCTTGAAGACCTGGCTTTTCCCCCAGGCACTGGGACTAGGATGCTAGTACAGATGTATGGGATTAGGGGGTACTGAAATTTCATTGAGCCTCAATTTGGTTTCTTTTAGCTTTAATGAAATGTTCTGTTTTGAATTTCTTTGGATAGGTAAGTGGCCCTATAAATCAGATAAATACATAAGCAAAGGGTAAATAACTTGTGTGATAAAACATTTAAGTGTCAGGTTATAATGAAGGGACCCAAAATCTTACCTCAGAATAATTGCCTTTGGGTGAGTTACTCTTAGTCTAGCCTGCCTCACAGGATTATGGGGAAGAATTATCGGGGAGATTATCATAAGTTACAAAATGCCCAGTGCTCACTACTAGCCACTGTTTTCTCTCATGCGATGCAAGTAATGATCCATAAAGTTCCAGCTCAGCTTCCAATGGCAGAGTCAGAGAGACCAGGAACTCTCTCCTTCTGCCCCTCCCTTCCGTATGAAAAAGCAAACGAAGAGCATCCTTCAGACAGAAAGTGAAATGCTCCAGGGAATCCTGCTGCCTGCTCTTATCTCAAGAGCTCCACCATGTGCATGTCCAACACTAACGCTAGGATTTGCTCTAAATACAGTGGTACCTCGGGATACGAACTTAATGCGTTCCGTGACTCTGGGCGTATCC